GAGCTAAAGAGAAATTCTCTATAGTGAAGTATGTAGGCAGCGACTAGTATTTTACTGGGATGACATACTGGTATTAAACTTTCCACTCTCGATATCAGGGGTTATGCTCACTTTCGCTCTCTACACTCCTGGAATATGTCATAGCAAAATTAAACGGCTTGGTGTGATGGGACAAGAGGACTAGTTTGATCCTTTGAATCTCTCTGTCAGGTAACAGTAAAATTTGACAGGTTTTGAAGTCGGGCATCTCTCCTTTATACTCTTCAAAGGACAGGTATCAGCCTAGCGATTGGTCAGGTTCTTTTTACCGGAGACCAATCAAACAGCTATCTTCGTGCCTTCAATTTTGCTATGACATATTCCAGGGGTGTAGAGAGCGAAAGTAAGCGTAACCCCTGGATATCGAAGATGTCGACTTCCAGGAACAAACTTGTCCTTAGTGTTCAAGGAGTCCTAGCGATTCTTGTCAAGGTATCGCAGAGTATTTTCGTGAATAAATACAACAGAGATAGATTTTATTTTTCAAGGCAATTCATCCATTTGGGGTTGAAACTGGTACCCCTGTGTTACTTTGAGTCTGATGCTTGACCGAATGAGCTAAAGCCATGTTGAAAATGACTGGATTGTGAAAGTAACTGATTGCTGGTTAATTTTTGCGGAAAAAAAAAGAAGAAATATTTCTTTCTAAACACTGGCGGGATAGTGGAACAATTGGGGCTCCATTAAAACTTGGCCAGTCTTAGCCTGTCTCTCCAATTTAAGGCTATCTGAAAGCTGTTTGTCTTTTTGATAAAAAATTAATCATCATTAATTATCACTTTTATTATTCAAATTGACGTTTGTCTTTTAACCTTTTTAAGTTTGTTTGATGTTTTTATTTTGCATTGGTGTTTTTTTCGACCATTTGTTGGCCCTTATGACCTATCCTGTGTTGATGGGCCGTTAAGCATTTAATAATTATAATAATAGTAGCCTTTGTTATTCGTAGTTCACAAGTATATGTAGAAAAGAAATACTGTAGAATTATTTCTTTATGAGTAAAATTTACACTTAAATGTGATTATATCTAAACTCAGGCAAACCAAATAGTGTGTACTTTGACATAATAAACATCCTGACATATTGTGAAAGATCTAATTACCAGGGTACATTGACAATTGAATATGTCATATGTTATTCAAAACAATAAAAACCTTTTGTAGACTTCCGGTAAAATATAATAATAGGAAGCCAAAGAATAAAACTTCTTCCATAAATTTTTTTTTTTTTCTTACTTCCAATTAACCCTTTCATCCCTATGTAACTTTAATAGACTACCATGCATTGATCTGAATGAGTCCATTATGGTCTACAGTGGTGAAAGGGTTAATGATTAAGAATCCATCGATGACCAATTCTTGCCATTATCTGATGTTAAACATGATATTTACACTTTCCGTTGACTTTCATGAATATATAACTACCGACAATTATGTATTTCTCTTAGGTCTAGACTTTTTTATCTGTAACATTAAATCATTGTTTTGAATCTTAGATGGTACATCATTATTTTGTGGAATAATACATTGATTTGTTTATCTCTGTACATCATGATTTTGTGGAATAATACATTGATTTGTTTATCTCCGTACATCATGATTTTGTGGAATAATACATTAATTTGTTTATCTCTTGTCAAACCATAACGTTTAGCTGACTAATTTCATTTTTTCTTGGGTGGAGGGGGGAGTATCAAGATACAGGTATATATAATTCATTATTAACCAGGACTTCATTTTTGTATTACATGCATAAGCAATAAAAAATAGTTCTTCCACTCTGGTTGTGACAATTCCAGTTGCCTTTTGTCAAATTGTGGAACATTTACATCAAGAAACAAGCTTGTCAGTTTCTAGTAATCTTTTCATAATCTTTTCAGTTTTAAAGAAAAAAACATTTGATTAGTAAAGGTTTTGAAAATCTTACTATCATTCATTATGGTTTGTGTGGTATAGTCATGATTATCACACTGAACTGGGGACATAAGTGATGAGTCTTTATTACTTAATTTAATGCTTGTTGAATGTACCATGTTCAACTCATTTACCCCTGAAGACACATTTGGACTCTTCCAATTCAAAGTTTGGAATAGTTCATTATGAATTATCAGGGGTGAAAGAGTTAAACATGCATTCTCTGTATATTTGTGTTAAAGTTACATCTTATATTTGTGTAGAATCTCCATTACGTAGCTCTTCACTCTGTAACGTTTTTTCGGTATATGTTGATAAGTATATTTAATAAAATGTTTCATAAGAAATTTCGATGTCTTGGTTTGTGCATCTATCTGATATTGTGTTATAGTACATTATCATATTCTAGGTATCTGTGATGTCAATATAGGTTGTTTCTCAATTTAGCTGTGCAAAGCTCATGTCTCTACCTGCTCCATATCTACCATGCTTGCACCATATCCATAATTCTATTCTATAAATCATGAATCATTTACCGGTACTCCCAATCATCTTTGCTAGCCCGGTGGCCAAGTGGTTAAGGCGTCTGCCATTCTGCTACCACTAGCCCTCCACCACTGGGTCACGAGCTCAAGACCTAAGTGGGGTAGTCCCCAGGTACTTGCTGCAGGTCGGTGGTTTTTCTCCTGGAACTCCAGCTTTCCTCCACGATGAAAACCTGGCACGTCATTAAATGACCATAGCTGCATGTTAACAGGATGTAAAACACTAACAATCTTTGCTAGCCAACGGTTACGATCAGTCTGCTAAGAGAGCGTAAATCATGGCGTATCGAGGATGACACCCAATCATCATGTTTAATTTCTTAAAAAGAACCATAAGGCCTATAGTCATGATACATTGCTAGTGTATTCCTTGGATGAAGCCAAATAAAGTTGAAATAAGATTACCTTGACCTTATTTCTTGGTCACAGGTCAAAAATCTTACAATAAATAAACAACTTTTGAAAACGAATAAAAAAAATAGGCCTAGAGAAAAAAAATCCTCTATTTCCCCTATTGGGCCCCGCCCCTCCGCCCCCAGAGGGGCCACACCCTCCGTTTATACAAACTTGAGTCTTCTTTGTCCAAAGATGCTCTAGGACAAATTTGGTCAAAATCCTTCAATTGGTTGAGAAGAAGAACATTTTTAAAGATTTACCTTTTTTCCCCTTATTTAGCCCCGCCCCTCTGCCCCGAGGGGGGGCTATACCGTCCGTTTATACAAAACTGAGAACCCTTTGGCCAATGATGCTCCTGACCAAGCTTCAGACTGCATTTGGTTTAAATCCCTTCACTTGTATAGTAGGAGAGAAAAAATCCTCTACTTCCCCTATTTGGCCCCGCCCCTCTGCCCCCAAAGAGGCCACACCCTCCGTTTATACAAACTTGAGTCTCCTTTGTCCAAAGATGCTCTAGGACAAATTTGGTCAAAATCCTTCTATTGGTTGAGAAGAAGAAGATTTTTAAAGATTTACCTATTTTCCCCCTATTTGGCCCCGCCCCTCTGCCCCCAGGGGGGTTATACCCTCCGTTTATACAAAACTGAGAACCCTTTGGCCAATGATGCTCCTGACCAAATTTGGTCAAAATCCTCTGAGCCATTCAGGACAAGTAGCATTTTAAAGGAAAAAGTTGACGGACGCCGGACGCCGGACGCTGCACCATGGGATAAGCTCACTTGGCCCTTCGGGCCAGGTGAGCTAATAAAGTCTTCAATTTTGGAGTATATGCATGTATCTGTTCTTCTGAAGAGAACAAAATGTTTTCCAGGTCATTGGATTCATGTGAATTGTTATACATTCATGAACATAGGCATCTATAAACTTGCAGCACGATACATGAACATTCACACTTTTAACACTTAGTATTTGTTTATTCAAAAATAATCAATGATGCACAATAATATATCATTTTTCTATTAGTTACAAATTCAAGCAATACCAGTATATTTGTCTCAGTGATGATAACTACATCTATTTGATCAAAATACTTCCCGTTCCAGTAAGATATATATTATACATATGCACAATATACCTCGTGACCAGACATGATGCTAACTTTTGAAGTGTAACCTATAGTATACAATAACATGTAGGGAAGCTTAAGGTAACCGAAAATGATCATTGAAATGTATGGAATGTAAGAAAATGAATTCATGACTGGGAATAGCAGATTTATGATTTAAGTATTTTTCCAATTGTAGCTGACTTGTCACAGAAGCTACATGTACATCATCTTTGATCTTTACTAATCAAAGGATACAATCCATGTTTTTCTGTGCAGAGAACAAGAAAGTGCAACCCCTGGGCCTGTATGCATGAAACCGTTCTCATGCTCAAGCATGGATTTTGTGCTCAAGTCAAATTTCTCGTTCAGTTTATAAATTAATAGTAAAATCTTATTTTATCAATGATTTGGGAAAACATTGAAGAGACATAAGCTTAATATACTGTTTTCAGTGTTTACATTTGACTTTTTGATCATTTGATTTAAGCGAGTTACAAGAAAGATGGTTTGAGCACAAAATCCATGCTTGCAACATGAGAATGTTTTCATGAATAAAGACCCTGAAATTAATTTCCAGGATGCATATATGTATACATTATGTGCAATGTACAACATCTTCACAATGTTTCAAGTCGTCGGGTCAAACATTTAAAAATAATCTACATATACATGAATTGTCAATTACATGTACAAATTTCGTTTTTCCTAAAATACAAAATCATGATAATAATATACACTTTTCTAAGTTTATTTGGAATTGTTTTGAAAATGTGATAATATTACACCAAATTAAAAGTGCACTGTACATGTAATATTTTTCACTGGGACTACATGTACATCGTAACAAACTCATGTACAGTATATATACATTGTACAATTTTTTTACATTCTTAGAAGCATCAACATAAAATGGATGTATAGACACAATTTCAAATTTTCAATCACTGGTCAGTTAAATTAACATCCTCTACTGTGCATAGGTCTCTTTTTTTTAAGAACTTTGCATGAAATTGAAGGTCAATTGCATATGACTAGTCTGGCTTTTTATGCCTAGCTTAAAATATCACTTGTTCATAAAGATAGGCAATATACACACGTTACAAAAATACACCTTGAGGTGCATTCAGTTTCTAAATGAAAAACCAAAAACGGCTTGAATGAGATGAGCGCTATTAAACTTGTTTATGTGTAGAAAAGTCTTAGGAGAGGACCTGTATATGGATTTCAGTATATGTATAAACTGACCTTGTACTTGTTCGATTCGTATATATATACAATGTACAAAATTTATTTACAGCCGAGTCTCACTTGTCATACATAATGGGTTTTTTTTTGTCAACTCCCAATTTGATTGGAGCCTAAACAAGAGTATTCATTTTAAAAAATCTCTACATTATCATCCCTGTATATATTGGTCCTTTAAGACAAAAGTTTTTCCATCAACCCAGGTGCAAGTCCAAGTCACAGAATTCACTCCTGAACAGTTTCTGCTTCGTCTACATACTGGACCTCCATTACGAAGGTTTCCCCGTCGACAGAGAACTGCTGTGGTAGATGCTCCACTATCTGTTCGGTAGTCCCATCCTGTGCTACTTCAGTAATCACCATGCCTTCCTGCAGTGCCACCTGGGAAGCATCAATCATCTCCATGGTCGTGTCACCAGCGCGTCCTATACGCAGCCCCGGGACAACGTGCTGAAGATTTCCGATAATGGTAGGCTGCTCCTCCTCCGCTATCTCCACGATGTTGTCTGAGTGACTGGTGACAACCTGCTGTATGTTACCAATGTGAGTATGATTACCCTCTGACGTTGCAATCAGTATTGTTTTCTCTTGTGAACTGGTCAAGCTGTTGGCAGCATCACCCTGCATCGTTTCAACCTGCTGAAATGTTTCCTCAACCTCCGATATCTCCACTGTTTGTTCACTCTTGAGCTCCGATATTTTGTCATTAGATGCCATGGTTACCTGTGTATTGTTGCCCTGGTCTGCATTGGTGATCATCTCTACGAGAGTGAGCAGGCTGTTGGCGATGGAGTTTGAGATATTGTGGTCCTGGCCAGTTTCTTTCTCGCCCTGAGAAACTTCAGTCGTTGCAATGTCGCCATTCTCAATCACACGTATAGTCTGTCCATTCTCGTCAACAATGACCACGCCACTGGACGACTGCTCAATCTCTTCTGCTGTCATGCTCTTTTCCAGCTCCTCTTCCTCCTGTTGCTGTTTCCTCAGACGTTCCATCAACTCGCGCTTCTCCCTGATCTTTCGCTTGTACTTGGGCTCGTCCTCTGAATGTACACACATGTGCACCTCCAGGTTCTGGGCACGAAGGAATCCCTTGTCGCAGATCTTACAGATGTATGGCATGCCTTTGATGTGGATGTCCTTGTGTTTCCTCAGTGTCTTGGCCTCCTTAAAACTCTTGCTGCAGATATCACAATGAAATGGCTTCTCCCCAGAGTGTATCCTCAGATGGGCCATCAAGTGAGCATTTTGTGTGAATGCACGGCCACACTCTTCACACTTATAGGGACGCTCTCCGCTGTGTGTGCGCATGTGCTTCTCCAGATGGGGTTTGGTACGGAAACACTTCTGACATTGAGAACATTCATACGGCTTTTCCCCCGTATGTGTTCGCCTGTGCTTGGGAAGCTGATTCTGTGTTGTGAAGCACTTTCCACACACATCACACTTGTATGGCCTCTCTCCAGTGTGGGTCCTCATATGCACCTGAAGGTCATCCTTGCGACGGAAATTCTTCACACACATGCTACACTGGAAGGGTCTGGCTCCCGAGTGTATGCTGGCATGAGATATCAGGTTATGCTTGTAGAGGAACTCTTTACCACAAACATCACACTTGGGAAGTGCTTCACCACTGTGAAACTTCATGTGAGCCACTACATGAGATTTCTTCCGAAAATTTTTGCCGCAGTCATCGCACCGGTACGGGCGGTTGTCTGCACTGTTGTTGATGTTGTAAATCTTGGGCTGCGGATCGACAACTTTATCTGGTTGCGTGACCAGGTTGATCTGTAGGGGTTTGGCGTCGCCCTTTGCTGGGATGACATTAACATGCACAGGATTAGGACCCTGTTGTTTGACAATGCTTGTAGCCTTTGTCGTCTGTGGTGCCATCGTCATTGCATTGCCAACGACTACGACCTTGCGACCTCCCTGCTGCTGGTACTGGATGATGGTGGGCTGGACGAAGGTGGACTGAGGGTCTGCTGCCTCCACCTCCTCCTCGTTATTGTCCAGTACTCGCTGACACATCTGACATCGTGGGGGGTCTGTTCCATCACCATTGATTGATCTCTGACATGTCTCACAATTACGGGGAACCTCTGGAAAACAGAAAACAATCTTATTACAGCATATATCCTAACTTAACTTTTAAAGTGTGAAACAAATCGAGACTTAATAACATATTTAAGTAATCTCAAAAAGGACAAAATATACTTCTAACCCTTTTTGGTCCAGAGTAAAATTAAATTTGATTTAATTTGATAAAATACCTCTTTTATTCTTATAATAAATTAATTTCTTTATCAAATCAATTATGGAATTCAGTCAATTTTCAATATTCCTACTTCTTCGCTGATGGAGCTACAGTCAAGTTAAGTTTTTAACACACACAAAAAAGATCCATGCTCAGTGAAAAGTTGGTAAACCAATTTAAATCACCTTTAACAAAAACTTACCTTCTGTGATGATGGTCCACCCATTGATTTGAAAGAAAGCATAAATAGCTATCTCCTGCTCTGGAGTTACCCTCAGTGACAAGAGACGTGGCTCGTTTGAGGTAGCTGTGGTTGTCACTTCCACAGTTGTCATGGTTACCACAGTGCTAGCCTCTCATTTAGATCTCCTGAAAAACATTAGTTATTAGATGAACATATATATCATATTCTTGCATTTTTTTGTATATTGATTCGTAACACCTTTCTTTTATTATTAATTAATAACTAAAGTCATTGTGGGAATTCATTAAAAAAAATCACCAATGAAAAAAAAAGTGGTAACTATCGATGGACACAGAGATGCAGGTCCCTAATTACAACCTTGCACCGAATTAAAATAATGTTCAAGATTTATTGATGCTCTAGGCAGTTGTGTCAACATGACCTCAATTAATTTATAGCAACCACTTGATGAAATCATTGTTATTAAATACACCCCCCC